CTTCATGAGACAAACAGTGCTGGAAGACTGGTACTATGTAAACTGATTAAATTGCAAATACAAGAGACAGTCCTCAACTTCCAGTTTTCCAAGCCGTAGGTAGCTCAGGCACATGTATTCCAAAGTTCCATGGTCCCTACTAGAATATATGCTGTTCATGTGAGGACCTGCTGTGCCAACTCCTGATAAAAGAACCCCAGCCCTCAGTGAAAATCCATTTACAGATTTTTGGAAAATGTTAACACTTCCTTAATAAGATTATTCATGTTTCATTTGCATACGTATCCTAGCTTTCTTTTATCCAGTTTATCCTTCCCTTCCGCACTGTATTCCAGAGGGATTAGAATTAATAAAAAAGCCATACCTGTTTTCTTGAGTGACTCCTGGATATACAGGTGCATGAATTCAATGCCGAACATTTCCTGTTGCTCCTCCTCTTCCGTGTCCTCACATGGAGGGAGCGTTACCTCTAACTCCAGTGGGTTATCTCTGAAGTTGACAAATCTGAGAGTTCACCAGAAAAGGTTACTCTTGCAATAGGTTTTGCCCAGAGAGAACAACTGTATTGAAACTGAATTAAGATTCCTCAAACAGTATTTTGAGCAAAATAAAATGTCTTTCCTTATACTAAACCCACCACTACATTAGTAGTATTAAGTAAACTAAGCTAAGAAGCTGCCTTATAATAACAGTAGCTGATTGTAGCAGGAGAAAACATTGCAGTCCCTATAATTTTGTCTCCAGGTTTTTCACCCCATTGTCAGTCAGCGTTACTGAGCTTCCACAAACAGTGGAGTGGATGAGAACAAGAGTGCAAATGCCTGCGTCCTCCCAGCTTTGCAAGGCAACAGCCAGCCCTGTCTCCCTCTGTTCCTGGTCCATCCCTGGGCCTATGCTTGTATGTATTTGTTTAAAGAGGTGCTGCTGCTTCCAAAACATCTGAAAACAGGAGTTGTCTCACTGGGCTAGGTGTGATTTATTCAGACTAGCATTCTTTCTCTAAAATGGCCAGCGTCTGGTAACTCAAAAATGCAAACAACAGGAAAGTTTCTGCCACAGTGTACAAAATAATACTTCCAATTCTACCAATTAAAATTACATTAATTCTCTTTTATTTTTCAAATCAAGAGAGTTTCATCCATATCCTTATACCTAATCCTTTTTGTTTAATTCTGAATGCTTGACTTTTCAGTGCCAAAGTTCTACTTTTTTGTCATTTTCATGCTTGTTACATATTTTCCTCCTCGCTCTTAGCTTTAGCGAGTGATACAAAAGGCCAATTAGAAGTGGGCATTGGGACCTTTTGGAAATGAGAAAATGTATGACAGTCTCCTTTTACATTTGGGACTGTAACTATCATAGCTTACTCTTTAAATAAGTTGCGCTACCCAAAGCTTTCTTGACCAGATCCTCAATGTTGTGAATCTGTGTCATTATGCTGATTTATGTGGCATTGTGTCCATCTGTACAACTTTGGACATGCCTTTTCTTTTCCACTTCCCTAGCATCGCTCTATGATACACAACTCAAGGGAGGCTTTAAAACTTATCTTTTAGTATTTTTATTTCTATTTCTGTTGCTTTTTCTTACCTCAGATTTGTCATGTCCTTCATACAAGCTGGAATATCCTTCAGTTTGTTGTTGCTAAGAACAAGAGTACTAAGATTTTTCATATTACTAATGGTTTCTGGCAAAGAGTTTATCTCGTTCCTTTGGAGCCATAAAGTGTGGAGATTTTCCATTCTGTAAAATAGGTATTTGCGTACTCAATCCAGATTTAGAAAACTAATCTTATCAATCATTAATATAAAGTAATTGATTCATTTTTTACAGCCACATAAAGGACTCGCATAAAGGATACAACAACTCTCAAAGAAAACCCCATATCCAAGATAATCACCTAACCTCTAGTCGAAAATGCCACTGGCAAGAAATATTTAACTTGATAGTGAATTTATCGTTTATTGAATGGATTATTCCAGCTCATCCAAAATATCACGTTAGGGCTGATAAATCTTAACTTTGCAGTGAGGTTAACATTAAAATAATCTTAGAATTTCAATGCAATGGAATTGAGATGAAGATGTGAGCTTTGAGGTTTATTTACCTGTCAATTGCATCAGGAAGTTCCTGGAGTTTATTCCCCCCCATATCTAACCATTCTAGATTTGGCATGTTGAGAAGAGCTGAAGGGATGGTAGTAAACTGATTCATGCACAGATCGATGTGTGAAAGCTTCTTTAAATCACTGAGCTGAAAAAGAAAGGGAGATTTAATGCAAGTTTGTATAGCTGTTCCATACAGCAGTGCTGTAATAATGTTGACTGAAAAAAAACCTATTTAAAAACATTGCAACACCTTTTGGAGTTAGTAAAGACAAAGGGTTCTGAGTTCCATTGGCTGATATTACCTAACAATTACAGTTCTCACCTGGAAGGTAGGTAGGTTTGACACAGATCAGGCAGAAGAATTTTATCTCCCACCTGGTAGTGAGTGCCCTAACTGCTGAGCAGCTGAATGCCATGACTGCAATGCAGATATACCCCAAGCCTTGAGAAGAAAAGGAATTTTAAAGACATCACTGTCCTTTGTATTTCATACTCAGTGGTGTTTCTTCATGCAGTATGACATTTTTCATTAGTCAATTATTTTGATTTTTATGAATTGAATTGCATGGACTGTATTTTAGAGTGAACCTAGACACTTCCCATGTTGTGAAGTCTCCTACTATGGCAAGACATTCTAAAAATTAAACATAGCATCATTCAGTATTGAAGCACCTAAGTCCTTTGGTGAATCATGCCTTCAGGTGCTTTTACAATGTTCAAGTGATGCAAAGATGTTTTATTGCAAATCCGGTCCAACTGCCTAAACGCTGAACGCCACTGAAGTACGTACAACCAAAGCTTCACGGTGTTCACATCACCGTAGTCTCACTAGGACAGAACTACGTATTTGCTATGAGCTGTTAATTTTAAAGCTATAACTCTACATTACACCATGTAACCTGTATCCACGTAGATTTTGCAAATTCTGGATTTTGATTAATAGTGCATATTTTCATTTGAAGATTTGTTGTTAGGTATTGCTGTTTGGACTCACTCAGTTTTGCAGGGCACTGATTGCTGCCAACTATTGCCACTACTGGTTTTTTTAAATAAATTACAAGAAGTAAATACAGTTACGTACTTGTCATCTCTATCTAAGAGACTAATACTTAGAGATGCAGGTCGCTCTCACATTTAGGTCAGTCCAAATCAAAGCTCAGTAGTAGGTGAGCAGTTGTTTTTATTCTCTCTTAATTGCTTTCAACATCTCAGAACAACATTCATTCAAGTCTTTGTGCATAGGCAATTGTATAAATCACACAAGCCCTTTTCATAGCTAGCAGCTCTGGTAAAGGTGCTTACAGTCGTGTCCTGGTACATGGTATGAATTTGTGTTCTCAACCATAAAAGGGAACTCCTCTGTGCTAAGGTGTCAGACCCTCAGTGGGGTAAATCAGTGAAGACCTTCAGCCTAAACAAATTAACATCAAGTGTATCACTGTCCTATACGCACTACCAAGTCATTTATCCGGACAAAATAAAGATTGGCTCCTTCAACTACTCAGGTGCATATGTCCTTCTCATGTGCCTTCAGCTTGACCAGTCATATAAATGTTGTTCACATATTTGTTTCATACATTTCACGTGTTTCAGCTATGAAATCAGAATATCAAAGCAAATCTGAAAACACAGAGTGCGACGTGTAATGATAACTGGGTTTGGATAAATTAAAAATAGGCATTAAACAAAACTAAAACCAAAACAGTCCGTCAAAACCTGAGGAGGAAGATCACAGATACTCCTGTTGACAGCCAGTTCCAATCTTTCCAGACTGACGCAGTTACTTATTTCCTTAGGAACAGACTTTATTCTGTTGTAACTGAGAAGCAGCTCTTGGAGGTTAGTCAGCTGGCCTGCAGAGAGCACAAATGGGAAATGATAAATGTTCACATTCTTTCTGTTTGAAATATAATATTGCTTGGTTTGTGTTATCCTTAAGTGCTCTGTTGTTCTCACTAAAAACAAAAAAAAAAGATTCACTGAAATTCAAGTAGTAGGACTTCAGCACTCTTTAGTACAGAACTGCACTCGAGTGCTACAAAAACCCCCCCAAAAACTCAAAAAAAAAAAAAAAACCCCAAAAAACTTACGAACGTAGGCTACTCATGCTGTGGACTCAGAACATGAAGCCTGTTTTTCAGTATCACTTTTCTAGCTGCATTCTGATGTCTAGTACCTGCTGTGCTTACAGGCTTTTTTCTCATGGGGAGCTTTCATAAAGATATGTCCCCTCCATCCAGCCATTTTTTTTAATTTATAGGGCATCTACGGTTTTAAGATCTCAATCTCACTGTCAGATTTAAATCGTCTGTTTTCCAGCTACCCCCAACAGGGTTGTTAGACAGGGA